CCGGCTCCGCGACAGGGGCGTCTTCCGCCGCGGGCCCCTGGGCTGGGGCCGGAGGCTGCTGGTGACCCGCCCCTGCGGGGCTTCCTCGCAGGCCGGCGCCGCCAAGAAGGCCCGAGACGGGCCGGACGTGCCCGGCGCGCAGCCCTCCTCGCCGCTGAGCGCCGAGCAGCTGGACCGCATACAGCGGAACAAGGCCGCGGCCTTGCTCAGGCTCGCGGCCCGGAACGTGCCCGTGGGCTTCGGGGAGAGCTGGAAGAAGCCCCTCAGCGGCGAGTTCGGGAAGCCGTACTTCATCCAGGTGAGCGGACGCCGTCCTGCTCCGGAGGCGGGCGTGGCGGCCGCCGGCCCAGCCCCCGCGTGCGGGGCGCGACTTCCGTGGGCGCCTCGGCTCCCTCCTTTAGCGCCCTTTCCGCGAGAAGGGGGTGGAACCGTGCCTCGGTGTTTGGGGTACGCACGATGCTTTTAAGAGACGAGGTGTTGCTTTTTTGCCCGGGCTTGTCGCGAACCTGTGGGCGAGAGCGATCCTCCCGCCGGGGCCATGGCGCCCGGCCAAAACGAGAACGCCCGCTGCGTGGGTCGGAGGCTGTTTACAGAACTCGTGGGTGAAAGCCACAGCATTCCCCGCCTCTCGTACCTCAGTTGTGAATCCCACTTTTTTACTTGATTAGAGTTGTTACTGACTGTGAGATGACACTGTGGCTTCTTTTAAGAAGCCACTTTCTCTGCTATCCAAGAAAGGCTGGCGTGGTGAAGCCAGCCGGCAGCCTGAGTGGAACCTGGCGTGGCCTTTTGAGAAGAGAAGGGGCTGTGGCACCCTCGGAAAACTAAAGCCGCCTGGCAGATCGACTTTAACCCAGCTGGGCAAAAGACGGAGGGTGGAAGTTGATGGGATTGAGCCACTAAGGTGGCGGGCAGGTAATGATTTTGTTGCTTTTCTAAAAAATTGGATATTAAACGTAGAGCTGGATGATGCGCCAAATAACTTGCTTTAGCAGCTTTCTTATTAAGTTCTTGTGGTTAGGTGAGAATGTGGTTTTAAGTCTATTCTATCTTTAAATCAGCTCATGGGATTTGTTGCAGAAGAAAGAAAACGTCACACTGTTTATCCACCCCCACACCAAGTCTTCACCTGGACCCAAATGTGTGACATAAGAGATGTGAGTATAGGTTGCTAATGAATTTTATTAGGGGGAGGGAATCAGATAGTATTTCTTTTTCTCTTTGAGTTGGAGTCTCACTCTTGTCGCCCAGGCTGGAGTGCAGTGGCACACTCATGGCCATGGCCACTGCAGCCTTGACCTGCTGGGCTCAGGCGATCCTTCCGCCTCAGCCTTCCAAGTAGCTAGAATTACAGGCCACTACGCCACCACACCCAACTAGCCTTTGTGATTTTGTTTTTTGTAGAGATGAGATCTCACCAAGTTGGCCAGGCTGGTCTCTCTCTTTGCCTCCCAAAGTGCTGAGATTACAGGCTGACCCACCACACTGGCCAAATAATATTTTCTAATTAGAGACACTGGAGTTTAGCCACAATCCGTAATTTGGTAGTAAAGAAAACACCGAAATTGTGAAGGTTTGGCTATTTCAGTCTATGTTTGCTGTGGTTGTTTTGTTTTGTTTTGTTTTGAGTTGGAGTCTCACTCTGTCACCTAGGCTGGAGGGCAGTGGCACGCTCCCCTGCCACCGCAGCCTCGACCTGCTGGGCTCAGGCAATCCTTCCATCTCAACCTTCCAAGTAGCTGAAACTACAGGCACACTCACCATGCCCAGCAACTTTTTTGTCACCCAACTTTTTTATTGTAAAGATGAAGTCTCACCAAGTTGCCAGAGCTTGTGTCGAACTTGTAGGCTCAGGCAATCCTCTCATCTCAACCTCCCAAAGTGCTGGGATTATAGGCGTGAGCCACCGCCCCTGGCCTGTTTTTAATGTTCGCTATGTTATTTATGCAGCAAAGAAAAATGTGTACATATTCCTTATTTCTGTATGCCCTCATATCTTGTTATTCCATTAGTCCCACCTTGATTTGACCACTGTTCTTATAGTTGGCACATTCTTTGTTTATTTTATTTATTTTTTTTTTTGAGTCGGAGTCCCAACCTCCCCCTGACTGGAGTGCAGTGGTACGCTCAGAGGCTACCACAGCCTTGCCCTGCAGGGCTTAGGTGATCCTTCCACCTTAGCCTTCTAAATAGCTGGAACTATAGGCATGTGCCACTATGCCTGGTTGAGTTTTTTACTTAATGTAGAGGTGAGGTCTTGCCAAGTTGCCCAGGCTGATCTCAAACCCCTGGGCTCAGGCAATCCTGTCACCTTCCAAAGTGCTGGGCTTATAGGTGTGAGCCACCATGCCTGGCCATAGTTGACACTTTGAGCTCTTGATTTCTTTGCCTGAGCAGTTTTGGGATTCTGTTAACAAATCGCTTTGCTCCAGTTTGTCCTATTTAGCAATTGTTGATTGGTGGCTCTCATTATGTCAGTATGCTGTTCAAAATCTTGTTTGTGGCCAGGCGTGATGGCTCATGCCTGTAATTCCAGCACTTTGGGAGGTGGAGGCGAGAGGATTATCTGTGCCCATGGGTTCAAGACCAGTCTGGGCAAGACCTCCTCTCTAAAATATATTTAAAAAATTAGTAGGGAGTGGTGGTGTATGTCTGTAGTTCCAGCTACTTGGAAGGCTGAAGTGGAAGGATCGCCTGAGCCCAGCAGGTTGAGGCTTTGGTAGCCATGAGTGTGCCACTATTCTCCAGCCTGGGTGACAGTGAGACTCTGACTCTAAACAAACAGATAAACACAGTCTTGTTTATGGCCTCTTCCAGTATGAACTCTTTGAGAGCTGAACATGCAAAACTCTCCTCAGATATAGACATATCCTACCCCCCAGTATTACCTCTGCCTCTACTTTTTCATTCCAGAGTTGGACAGTGTAGCAACCCTGCCCATTTCTGTCTTGAAAACCAACTGGGTCTGTCTATGGCACCTCCTTGAAGTCTGTTGCCCACTACCTCTGTGATCTGGTTAGTTTTCCTCTGAACCACTACAGTATATTTGGTACCTGCTTATGCTGAAGGCGTTAGGTTTTATTCTTACTGTTTACCCTCCTTCATTTTGTAAGCAGGGGCAGGAATCTTGTGATTTCATAGACAATCTGTTAAATCAAATAGAAGCCAAATAGATAAATAAGCCATCTTGATAAGGCAGCCACACCCAAAAGTTAGAAAATTTCACAATTTTAATTTTAGAACAAGAACTTGCAGTGTGGTTCCTATGGTTGGTTTGTTTGCCTCTTGTGTTTTTGTTTTTGTTTTTTTGAGCTCGAGTCTCACTCTGTCGCCCAGGCTGGAGTGCAGTGACACGCTCACGGCCATCCCAGCATCGACCTACTGGGCTCCAGCGATCCTTCTGCCTCAGCCTTCCAAGTAGCCAGAACTACAGATGTGCACTACCATGCCTGGCTAGTTTTTTTTATTTATTGTAGAGACAAGGTCTCGCCAAGTTGCCTGGGCTGTTCTCAAACCTGCAGACTCAGGCAACCCACTGGCCTTGGCCTCCCAAAGTGCTGGTATTTCAGGCTGAGCCACTGAGCCCAGCCTGTTTGTTTTTTGAGTCAGAGTCTCACTTTGTCACCCAGGCTGGAGAGCAATGGCACAATCATGGCATACTGCAGCCTCAATCTCAGCTTATAGCTGGGATTAAGGTGCATGCCTCTATGCCTGGCTTATTTTTTAAAATTTTTTTGTAGAGATGAGGTCTTGGCTGTGTTGGCTGGGCTGGGCTGGAACATCTGGGTTCAAGCAATCCTCCCGCCTTGGCCTCCCAAAGTGCTGTGGTTACGATCGTGTGCCATTACATCTAGCTGTAGCTCCTAGGTTTTGAAGTGAAACTAAGTCCATTAAACTTAGTAACTACTTTGCTTCTTGTTTGAAGGGTCTGTTTTGACTACTGATGATGGATATAAACAGGGAAAACGCAAAAAAAAGACGTACTAAGCATAGGAGGCTGGGATGAGCCCAGGGGGCATCTTTGAAGACCAGCATCTGGAGGGGCGGAGAGAGGTTAGGTAGCTTGCCCAAGATCCTCCCTTGTCCAGGACTAGAGGCCCTGAGCCCAAAAGCTTTTCTGTGGAGATGAGTTGCTTCACAGAAGAGAATATGCCAGCAATAGTATACTAGGGCACCAAAGGGTGGGACAAGTGGTCCCCAAATGCCTCCTGGTCATGGGAACATCTGGAGCTGTGTTCTGAAGGTCAAAGAGTACATCAGATATGGAGGAAGATTGTAAGAAAGAACACCATGGGCAGAAGCTTGAGAATGAAGGTGAGATAGGCGGGCACCAAATCGAAAGGATGAGCTGGCCTGTATTCCAACAACTTCTGTGACGGGGACCTTATTACCTGTGCCTTTTGCCACCTATTCCCATGGCCTTTGGGATCTGACCTTGCTCACTTCTGGCTCTGTCCACTAGATGATATAGGGAAGCTGGCACCCTCATGCCGCGGGTGGGAAATTTGAATTGCTTTAGCTCGTTGAAAAGTCACTGGGCACATGTTTGTGAAAGTTTAACATACACTTACCCTTTGACTTACACCTCCGCTGTTAACAGAGCTGTGCCATAGAAGTTAAAGCAACAGTGTGTGAGGATATGTGTACTAGGATGCTTATTGCAATATTTTTTGTAATGGAAAACATTGGGAAACAAAGCTGATGACTGCCCATGAGTAGCAATTGAGCACTCTGTTGACAAAATATACAAAGTAAGGAATACAAGATGTAGGGTAATGTGTCCAGTAACCCCAATTGTATTGTTAATTAAAAATGGTTCACTCTGTAGGGGATGAGGATGACCAGAAAGCGGTTGTACTTATTACAAGGACATGTTCACTTTTGTAATTTGAAGAATGAAGGAGATGAAGGCAAAGTTGACCCCAACTTGTTTCAAACATATGTCAGAGAAGAGGATGGGGCAGCGCTTAGGGTGATTGAGTGAAGGATAATTTGGCAGTGGGAAGTGATGGGCTGAGTCAGTTACTCCCTCTTGGGGTTCTCAGTTGTGTCAAGAGGGGGCCCTCCTTCTTGTGTCCTTTTGTGTAGGTTGTCAATCTGCCAGGTATTCATTTATACTGCTTACATGATAGTATTGTTTAATTCCTTGCCACCTGGTGTTCGTTCACAGGTGAAAGTTGTCATCCTGGGACAGGATCCGTATCATGGACCCAATCAAGCTCATGGGCTCTGTTTTAGTGTACAAAGACCTGTTCCACCTCCACCCAGGTACATTTGCTTAACAGGTGGCTCCAATCCAGTCGTGATTCCTTTCAGATGTGTACTTTGCAAATTACAGATGGGACAATTTAGGGGAACTTTTCACTAGCCTTGGAACTGGATTTCTCAATCTCAGCATTACTGACATTGAGGCGAGTCATTCTTTGTTGTAGGGGAGGGAGGTTGTGATGCCAGGAGCACCCCTCTTCTTGTGACAATGAAAATTGTTCACACATTGCCACAAGTCTCTTGGGGGGTGGGGGCTAATCATTCCTGGTTAAGAACTGCTGCTTTGGAGGATTTTGTATATAACATATAAATATGATAACCATATAAAGGTAGAAACTAAGAAGGGAGGGGGGCTTGTAACTGATTTACTTGGTTCTTCCAAAATGCTGTTATTTAAATGCAAATGAAAGTCTTTGGCAGATCAACCTGTCAGAAGGAGTAGTAGAACACGCTACACTCATCAGTGTAGTATGTTCCATTGTCCTCTCCAAAGGCTGGCTGGAACCTCTAACCTTTTCATACGTATCTTGGAGGTTACTGAGCTTCAATGTTATACTAAAGAGTCTGGTTTTTTTTTTTTTCTGGCTTGCTTTCAGTTTGGAGAACATTTATAAAGAGCTGTCTACAGATATAGATGCTTTTGTTCATCCTGGCCATGGAGATTTATCTGGGTGGGCCAAACAAGGTAAGCCACCCACTGCTAGATAGGTTTTAGACTGATACCTACAGTCTTTTTTCTGTCCTGTTTGTTTGTATTTTTAAAGGGTTGCCATAAAGAACTAGAGAGCTCGAATAAAATGGCTAATTTATACAAGTGAAAAAAATGTATCTCTCAGTTTTATCCTACAGCCAATGTTTTCTTTCATGTTTTAGTTATATATTTTTTCACAATTGTTAATCTTTTTTATTTTAATAACATATCATACCTTCTTAACTATTCTTAAGATTTACCTTCTTAACTATTTTAAAGTGTCTAGTTCATTAGCAGTAAGTACATTCATGTGGTTGTGAACCATCATTGGTCTCTCTTTTTTTTTTTTGAGTTGGTGTCTTAGGCTGGAGTGCAGTAGCATACCTGTGGCCACTGCAGCCTTCACCTGCTGGTCTTAGGCGATCCTTCCACCTCAGCCTTCCAAGTAGCTGGAACTACAGACGTACGTTACCATGCCCGTCTAATTTTTTGATTTATAGTAGAGACGAGGTCTCACCCTGTTGCCCAGGCTGATCTTGAACCTGCAGACTCAGGCAGTCCGCTTGCCTCAGCCTTCCAAAGTGCTGGGATTATAGGCTTGGGCCACCGCACCTGACCAGTCTCTTTCTTATGTAAGCCTTTTTTTGTTTTTGTTTTATTTTTCTTTGTTTTAAAGATGAGGGGGTGGTACAATTCGGGTTTAAGTGTACAAATGTTCATTATGCAGGTACTCTTGTTGATAAGGTATGCCTCTCTCTCCCCTGGCAGTTTGCCTTAACTGCCAATCCTACCCCCTCTTTCATGTTTTAGTTGTAATTTGAAAGGCAAAAGTTTGTCCCTTGTGAATCTACTTCACCTAACTTAGACCACTCCAAAGGTGGCCTTAACTCTGCTCATTTTGACACATGGGTTGTGTGTGCATTGTTTTAATACCTATCTAGGAAACTTGCTGTTTCACCAGACTATCTACAACCAGGAAAAGGAAAGAATTTACTCTGGTTTCTTGTAGTTAGATTTTTCATTTCTGGAAATATTTTGGCCTTTTTTTGTGTTCTGATGTTATTTGGTATCACTTAGGATGTTTTCTCTCTCTTTTTTTTTTTTTTTTTTTTGAGTCAGAGTCTCAGAGTCTTCGACATGCTGGGCTTAGGCAATCCTTCCACCTCAGCCTTCCAAGTAGCTGTAACTACAGACGCATGCCACCATGCCCAGCCAATTTTTTGATTTATTGTAGAGATGAAGTCTCACCAAGAACCCAGGCTGGTCTCGAACCCCTGAACTCAGGCGTCCTCTCGTTTTGGCCTCCCAAAGTGCTGGAATTATAGATGTGAGCCACCACGCCCAGCCAAGGTGTTTTCTAAGATAATTCATTCTGCTGAGGGATCTAAGGTGTGTTCACTGCAACAAATTTGGAAGAAGCCAAAAGGGCAGTGATGAAAATAAAAAGCTCTCTAATCTCCTTGCCCACAGGTTGCCGCTGGTTGTGTCATAACACCTTTATGGCCTGTTTTGTTGGTCATGCATGTAATCCCTGTTGCTAGGTATCTGGGCTTGTTTGTTGGGGCCTACTTTTAACCTACATCTCCCCTGTGTGTTGTAGGTGTTCTTCTACTCAATGCTGTCCTTACTGTTCGGGCCCATCAAGCCAATTCTCATAAGGAGAGAGGCTGGGAGCAATTTACTGATGCAGTGGTATCCTGGCTGAATAAGAACTCGAATGGCCTTGTCTTCTTGCTCTGGGGCTCTTATGCTCAGAAGAAGGGCAGTGCCATCGATAGGGTATGTGGTTTTGTTCTGTTTTGTTTTGTTTTAGGTAATTCTAAGTCCTGGAAAATCCATGATAGTACGTTTTATTTTCCCTTAAAACTTATAATTAGGGCTGAGTTTCCCATTGAAAACAGCAGAATTCAGAAATTATAATAAGAGTGGTGAGTTGTGATGAGGAAAGCAACTGGCTAACATGTGGCTTCATGAAGTTAGTCATGTAAGCATGAACTTGTCATGTAAGATACAAGGTCCCTGGTTACCTTTCATTTAGCAAGCGATGCTGTAAGTGGTGAATACGGCACATTTCTGCTTCCAAGAAATTTGAGAGCATTTGGAAAACACAAAGTCTTCTACTTAATCACTAATTTAACTTCCTCATGAAAATATGATTAGTGATCATCATTTACACGAGGCTAATTGCAAACACCCAACACGACCAAACTGGTTGCTGCCCTCCCTGCATCCTCCACCAGCCTGCCACTTCTGTTCTCCACCAGCCTGCCACTTCTGTTCTCCACTCGCCCAACCCCCCCCCCACTGAAGCACTTTATACCTGGTTGCAGAGATCAAAAGCCTAAGTCATTCTTGAATTCTCTACACTCCAATAAATCCTGTGAACTCTGCCTCCTAAAAACATCCCAGTCCTGCTTTTCCAGTCGCCACTGCTGCCTCTCAGGGACAAGGTGTCTAGAGGTGATAGTGGTTTGATGGAGACTGGGGTAGTGGGAGGGAGAGGAGCCAGGAACAAGTGTTCAGCTCTGGCAACTGGAAGAGACATTGGGTTGGGGAGTGAGGGTGGGGGGAAGTTAGAGAGTAAATAAGCAAAGGAAGACTTAACTGAGGCCACCTAGCAGGTATATTGAACTGCTACCCTATGTCAGGGGCCAAGTTGAGTGCTTGCATCTTACTTAACTCTCACAAAGCCTTTGAAGTAGGAACATACTTTATCCTTGGATGAAAGACCTGAGGTCTGACCTGTATGAATGAAGGTCTGTTTATGTATGTGCACAAGAGTAATAAAATTCAGTCTGTTAGGGGGGCTTGTGGCTGACAGCTCTTGATTCAGTATGCTGATAATCTTTATGAAACATGGTTTAGTCCAAAAGTAAACAGTGATTAAAGTTGCTTAATCATTGAACCAAGTTGCATGTCTCTAGCCTAGTGTCTCACCTGAGCTCTCTATATAGTGCCTTCTTACTGTTGACCTATAAGTACATCAAATTAAACATTTTCCAAGTTTTCTTCTCCTTTCATCTGTCCTTCACTAAACTTGTTCCTCTGTACTCCCCAGTGATTAAAACCATCACCATTTAGTTGTCCAACCAGATACAATGCCATTCATGGTATCTGCCTTCCTCTCTTTCTCTCTGCCCTACCCATATGTAGTCATTCATATCTGGTTCTTTCTTCCCCTTCTTCTCTATCAAATACGTCCCCAACTAACCACCTTTGCCTTGGTTCAGGCCCTCATCTGTTCCTGCCTGAAGGGTTATGATCGTGCCTGGAAGGCCTTGACTTGGGCTGACAAACTGGTGCAGATAACATGGCCCCAGCCATCTTCTCAGCCATGACTCTCTGCTTGTAGCCTGACTGACCCGCCTGAACTTCCTCACCGTGCCCCTCTTTCCTGGCTTCCTCTGCATATCCTGCTTCCTCTGCCCAGACGGGTAGGTCCTGTCCTTGGGAGGCTGACGGACTTACCCTTCAAAGTTGTGCAGAGCTTTCATTTTCAGGGGCCTGTGCTGCTTGCATGTTTAGTACTTGGCGTGTGTACCCAGGAACTTCATCTGACCCTTCACAGTAACTTCATAAGCTAGGTGCTATTATTCTCAATTTACAGGTGAAAGTTGACACAGCCTAGGGTTGCAGAGACTTCCCCAACTTGCTGTGTTATTCAACTACTGAGTTAGCATAACTGGAATAGCTGGGCCTTAAACCAGTCTGGCTGCAGGCTCTGTGCTCATAATCACACTTGGCTGCCTTGCTTTCATTATCAGCCTTCCTGGACCGAACCCCCTTGAAGGCAGGGATGTTTAAGAAGCAATAATTTGCTAGTTGGTTTTCACATACAGAAAAGAATGAAGAGGAAGACAAAAATGGCCTATAGTCTGCCTGCTCAAATAACTGCAGTTAACATTTTAAAAAATCAAAGTATAGTCATGTGCCACATAACATTTTAGTCAACAACAAACCACGTATACAATGTTGGTCCTAGGGGATTATAATACTGCATTTTTGCTGTGCCTTTCCTGTGTTTAGGTACCTTTTCTATACACAGATTCTTCCCACTATTACGGTGGCCCACAGTATTCAGACAGGAATGTGCAGCTCTGGTTTGTGCCTTGTACCCTCGGTGTGTAGTTGGCTGTCCCATCTAGGTGTGTGTAAGGACCCTCTACAACAGTGGTTCCCAACCTTTTTGACATCAGGGACTGGTTTCATGGAAGACAATTTTTTCACGGACAGCAGGAGGATCATTAGGCATTACATTCTCATAAGGAGACCACAACCTAGAGCCCGCATGTGCAGTTCACAATATGGTTCACGCTCCTATGAGAATCTAATGCTGCCACTGATCTGATAGGAAGCAGAGCTCTGCTCTCTCCTGCTGTGTGGCCCGGTACCTAGCAGACCTCAACCTCCTGGACTCAAGCTATCTTCCTGCTTTAATCACATCTGTAACTGGGTCTATAGGCACATACCACCATGCCTATCTAATTTTATGTTTTTTGTGGAAAAAGGGTTCTTGCTATGTTGCCCAGGCTGGTCTATAACTCCTGGTCTCAAACAGTCCTTGTACCTCAGTCTTCCAAATCACTGGAATTGTAGGTGTGAGCACCTGGCCTAAAAATATTTTTAAATGAATTAATTTATTTTGAAGCTGGGCATGGTGGTTCATGCCTGTAATTCTAGCACTTTGGGAAATGGAGGCAAGAGGATTGACTGAGCCCAGGGGTATGAGACCAGCCTGGGCAACTAGGCGAGAACTCGTCTCTACAATAAATGAAAAAATTAACTGCGTGTGGTGGTGTGTGCCTGTGGTTCCAGCTACTTGGAAGGATCACCTGAGCCCTACAGGTTGAGGCTGTGGTGGCCACGAGTGTGTCACTGCACTCCAGCCTGGGTAACAGACTCGACCCAAAAAAAAAAATTTTTTTTTTTTTTTTGCTTTTTTTCCCACTTGATAACTTTTAGAGGTCACATTTCCACTTTATATTTTAGAGGTCGTAGAACTTTAGAAAAAATTTAGTCAATTTCATAGCATTGGATGTAAATTAGCTTTTAGGTGACATAAGCAGTATTACAGTGAACTGATCCCCTTATGCATGCATATTTGTTTCAGTACAGGTGGTCCCTTTCTAATGAGGTTCGACTTGATTTTTCAACTACATTGGTGCATAGGAACTGCACTTTGAGTATGCGGTCAACCATTGATTTTCACTTTCAGTGGTGGTCAGTAAATTACAATCAGAGTCAACACTTTTTTGTAAAATAGGCTTTTTTTTTTTTTTGCCTGACATAGGCTAATGTGAGTGTTCTGAGCATGTTTAAGGCATGTTTAGGGCAGGCTAAGCCAAGATGCTCAGCAGGTTAGATGTATTAAATGCATCTTAAACTAAACAACATTTTCAACTGAGGGCAGGATTTTTTGTTTGTTTTTCTGAGTTGGAGTCTCACTCTGTCGCCCAGACTGGAGTGCAGTGACACACTCATGGCCACCGCAGCCTCAACCTGCTGGACTCAGGTGATCCTTCTGCCTCAGCCTTCTAAGTATCTGGAACTACAGACACGTGCCACCATACCCAGCTAGTTTTTTGATTTATTGTAGAGATGAGGTCTCACCAAGTTGCCCAGGCTGGTCTCAAACCCCTGAACTCAGGCAGTCCTCTCACCTTGGCTTCCCAAAGTTCTGAGATTACAGGCTTGAGCCACTGTGCCCAGCCACACAGCATTCTTTAGTAAATACAACCTCAGCAGGAGAATTGCTGGAGAGTAAGATACGGACTGTATAAATTGCACAGAATTGCCAAATTAATGGCTGAGACTGATCCTCTTTGTGTATCAGAGCCTAGCAAAGGTAGGTAGTTGCCCTACAAATGAGCAAATGGATTTAACGCTCTAATACAAGTGCTGAATGTTCCACTTAGGCAGATGGGAGACTTTGAAGAGGGCAAAGGGGAATTGCATAGGGTCTTAAAATGCAGAAGCCACAGTCCTTTAAAAGAAAAAGCCCCAAATCTTTGATTCTCCACCTTTGATTCTCTTGTTCTTTTTCAGAAGCGGCATCATGTCCTGCAGACAGCTCATCCCTCCCCACTGTCTGTGTATAGGGGGTTCTTTGGGTGTAGACACTTCTCTAAGACCAATGAGCTGCTGCAGAAGTCCGGCAAGAAGCCCATCAACTGGAAGGAGCTGTGATCCTCACCTGAGGGGAGTGGGGTCTGTCGATGGATTTTGAGAAGCTGCTGTTCAAGCGTTTGTCAGTCATGAGGTTGAGCTGAAGATCTTCCTGTTAAATCTTGATTATTCTGTATAAAGGGGAAGAGCAACCAGGCTGCCCAGTAATGACAGCTTTATTCGGCCAGACACAGCAGAGGCCACTCGTGGACCAAATGCTTTTTTCTGTGATGGGGCTTCGGCCTAAAATATGCAAACTTCTTAGAAAACGGGGGAGATCTCACACTTGACTCTCTCCACATCCCTTAGCGTTATGGCTGAAGGGGGAAGTGTGCCTTTTGAAACAGCCACAGTTTGGTGTCTGCTGCTACCGTGAATGATCCGAAAGGCTCCCCCTTCCCAGCTCAGCAGACACTCCAGCCTTCGCCAGGTACATTGCCCTCTTGATCTTTCAAGGATGTTTTGCTAGTTTCTAGAAATCTGGCCCAGAAATTAGGGGTAGATTTCCTGATTATAGTAGAGAAAGATTCCTAAGGAATAATCTTGGTGTGAGTTTCAACAAATACACAGGGGCTGAGAGAAGTGAGCTGGGTATCGTTTATCCTGTTACTCCTTGGGTGTTTCATGGAATAAGCAGTGGGATTTGATCAAGGAAGAAAAGATTTTTAAGTGAGATGATTTTTTTTTTTTTTTTTTTAGTGAGATGATTTTCTCCTAGGGTTATCCCGAGTTGGGGATTTTTGAGGCAGCACAGACTGCCAAATGCTGTTTTTTTATGGACTGAAATCCCTTTGGGATATTTTTTTCTGCAACACTTGAAAGTTTTAATTTTTTAAAAACTTCTGCAGATATGTTTTTTTGCCATCTTTTTTTAAAGAAACACTTTTTACTGGGTCTGCACCTTCATCTTTTATCTTAGGGATGCTGTTTTTGCTGTTACCTTGCCTGTGAGAGTTTGGTAATAAAAGGTTGTTGAAGTTTCACTTTGGGCCGTGTCTTTTTTATGTCTAGGCCAAGCTGCGGCTGCCCTTGTACTTGTTGCCTGTCTGGCCTCCTGCCAGGGTCCCCATGACAACCTTTGCCTCAGGAAGAGCCGCCCTGAAGCCCTTGCTCCTTCCTCTCCACCTTCACTGGGTGGAGCTGCCTACCCTTGCACCAGGTCTTGGGAAGCCTCTGCCGCTTTCTGCCTGCAGCTGCGTCCAAGTGCTGTGGTGTGCCAGCTGGGGTCAGAGTTGAGACCCAAAGGGGCAGCTTCCAGCCTGAGAAAAACATTTCTTTGGGAGTCTTGACATGTTCATCAGGCCTGCATTCTGCCATGCCTTGTGACAGTCAAGGGGGGTTTCCCATACCCTCCCTCAACCAGTGTTTGTAGACTTGAGGTGTGATGCCAGGGCACTAGGAAGACTCCCTGGGGGTTCACTGGCCTGCTGCCCTGGACTCGGGTTATCTGGGTGGACTGTCAGGATGAAAGGTGGCATCCCTTGGTTGTCTGATATAGAAAGCAACAAGTACCATGAAGGGTTGTAGCAAGTGTGCTTTTACTTAAATGGGCAGGAAAGAATACATCCGGCAAGAACATCTGGACCAGTAAATGTATCATTTGTTGTTTTTTTTTTGAGTTGGAGTCTTACTCTGTTGCTCAGACTGGAGTGCAGTGGCCACTCCCGGCCATCGCAACCTTGACCTGCTGGGCTCCAGCGATCCTTCCGTGTATCATTTCTTAAGAGGACAAGGGTGTGGCGAACCTAGTATGGCTTGAAAATACTGCTTCTGGGCCTGCCTTATCTGTGAAGAGAAGTTTTTATGGTTCCCCTTTTTTTTTTTTTTTTTTTGAGTGGAAGTCCCAATAGCCCAGTCTGGAGTACAGTGGCATGCCTACAGTCACCACAGCCTCAACCTGCTGGGCACAGGCGATCCTTACACCTCAGCCTTCCAAGTACCTGGAACTGTAGGCACACAACCACACTCAGCTAATTTTTTTTTTAATTGTAGAGATGAGGTCTTGCCATGTTTCCCAGGCTGGTCTCGAACCCCTGACTCAGATAATCCTCTCACCTCGGCCTCCCAAAGTGCTGGGATTACAGGCGTGAGCCACCGCGCCTGGCGTCACATTTTGTGTTCAGTACACAGGCTTTCGTAGACAGGAAGCATTGTCAGTTTGCCCTCTAGTAACAGGTCTTCCCCTAAATATGCCAGTGGACTCCCTTACCTAAGGAGGCAGCAAAGGGTGCAGAGGTCCAACCTCCGTAGAGCAGGGCCTGAGGTGGGGAGAAGGAATGAGAAAAAGACAAAGAACAACGGGATTGGGAGGTCTCCTCAATAGGTGAGAGCGAGTTTATTCTCACAGCATGTTTTCTTATATAGAGCAAAACTACATAAACAAAAGATATTTTAATGCTAGTATCAGCTGGGAAAAAGTTAACGTTTAGGACTTTCCCTGGCAAGCTTACTATAGCACTGACATCTTTGTTTTCTAAGAGTCTCACTAAAACTATTAACATCTATGTTCTTTGAAGTTCTGAGTAAAGTTATTATTGAAGTAGGCTACGTTCAGCCTATGCAGACTAGAGGTCACAGCACCTGAATTCTGCTAAAACAACATTCTCAGGGGCAAACATGAAGAGAAGAAAACACTGGCCAAGCTCCTGTTGGAATCAGGCCAGAAACAAGGACCTTGTCAAGCTTATGTCCTTATTTCCTACAAAAGGGGTCATATTTCTATACCAGTTAGCTCTTGGCACATCTCTCCCAGGACAGTGGGGCCAGTAGGGGGGAGTAGTAAGTGCAAGTTACCATAAGTAATTCAAAACAAACTGGTTATTTGGGGTTTTAAAATATATACACTGGCTGGGTTTGGTGGCTCACGCCTATATTTACAGCACTTTGGGAGGCCAAGGTAAAAGAATTTCTGAGCCCTCAGGTTCAAGATCAGCCTGGACAACTTGGTGAGACCTCATCTCTATGATAAATTAGCTGGACGTGATGGCGTGTGCCTGTAGTTCCAGCTACTTGGAAGTCTGCGGCAGAAGATTGAGCCCAGCAGGTCCAGGCTGCGGTAGCCGTGAGCATGCCATTGCACTCCAACCTGGGCGACAGAGTGAGACTCTGACTCAAAAATATAAAATAAAATATATACATTGGGCCGGACACAATGGCTCACGTCTATAATCCCAGCACTTTGGGAGGTAGCGGTGAGAAAATTGCTTGAGCCCACGGGTTTGGGACCAACCTGGGCAACTTGGCGAGACCTCATCTTTACAATAAATCAAAAAATTAGCCAGATGTGGTGGCGCATGCCTGCAGTTCCAGCTACTTGGAAGGCTGAGGCAGAAGGATTGCCTGAGCCCAGCAGGTTGAGGCTATGGTGACCGTGATCGTGCCACTGCACTCCAGCCTGGGTGACAGAATCCAACTTAAAAAAGATACACACACACACACACACCCAGAATTGTAGTGACGCTTTAAACAGCTCAGAGCAGCAACATATTAAAATGGTCCGTGACCTCCCTTCTCTCCAAGGCCAAAATTACCCATTAAATGGCCAAAAATACCCATTTAATCACTGATTGTTTAGAAACCAGACTACTTATTTTGATGAGCTCTTTGCGACGTGGTAGTAATTTTTTTTCTTCACATCTTGAGTTTGCTATGATCATTCAGTATGTAAAAATGAATGAAAAGCAGTTTTTGTTGTTGTTGGAATCTCACTCCGTTGCCCAGGCTGGAGGGCAGTGGCACGCTCCCGACCAATACAGCCTCAACTTGGGCTCAGGTGATCCTTCTGTCTCAATCTTCCGCTACCACGCCCAACTAATTTTTTGGTTTATTGTAGAGATGGGGGGTCTAAGTTGCCCAGACTGGTCTTGAACCCACGGGCTCCCAAAGTCCTGGGATTACAGACTGAGCCACAGAGACTGGCTGAAAAGCAGTCTTAATTTTTTAGGTCAGAGGTTGGCAAACTTTCTGTGAAGGGTCAGAGAATAAGTATTTTAGGTTTTGTAGTCATCTGTTTTCCGTGGGAGCTACTCAGCAGTGAGTTACAGAGGAAGCAGCCGTGAGAAAAATGTACAGAATGGGTGAGGCAGTGTTCCAATAAAACTTTTATGGACTATGGAATTTTAATATGATTTTCGTGTGTCATTCAATCTTTTTTTTTTTGAGTCAGAGTCTCACTGTTGTCCAGGCTGGAGTGCAGTGGCACGTTCACAGCCACTGCAGCCTCAACCTCCTGGGTTCAGGCGATCCTTTCACCTCAGCCTTCCAAGTAGCTGGAACTACAAGTGCATGCCACCACACCCGGGTAATTTTTTGATTTATTGTAGAGACGAACTCTCACCAAGTTGCCCAGGCTGGTCTTGAACCCTGGACGCAGGCAGTCCTCTCATCTCCACTTCCCAAAGTGCTGGAATTACAGGCATGAGCCACTGAACCTGGCTCATGAGCTATTTTATTAATTCTCCCTCTCCCCCACCCCCCAAGCATTAAACAAATGAACCACTCCTAGCTTGGAAGTGGTAAGAACATGCCCCTTGAGCCATAGTTTGCAGCCCCTTATGTGTTCCCATTGTCTGGTAAACTGGGAGCAAAAAGGAAGTCACTACTAGGCCGGCCCAGGAAAGAAATGTCACAGTGGAGGGAATGCTTGAGTGGGTACTGAAGGAAACAATTTCCAGGCCAGGAAGAGGAACAAGAGCCTTCTATGCAGAGGAGTAGGCCTGTGCAAAGCCAAGGTAACTGAGAAGCCATGGCCTGTGTGAATCCAGAGTTACACATGGCCTGGTGTGACTGTGAGGCTTGTGTGGAACCTGGCCAAAGATGATTCCCGTCTCCTCCTTTCCCAGGTAAGGAAAAAAGCATCTTATTTGCTGAAGGCTTTCAGACTGGGTAACACGAGGAAGTCAGTTTACCCAAATGAGAATGTTGTGCTGGGCGCCTCAACTTATTTTTTTTTTTTTTGAGTTGGAGTCTCTGTCACCCAGACTGGAGTGCAGTGGCCGCTCCCGGCCACCACAGTCTCGACGGCCACCACAGCCTCGACCTGCTGGACTCCGGCAATCCTTCCACCTCAGCCTTCCGAGTAGCCAGAATTACAGGCGCGCACACTACCACGCCCAGCTGATTTTTTGATTTATTGTAGGGATGAGGTCTCGCTGCCC